CAGATAGAGCTCAGATTTTTCAATGTGCTCAAGTACACGCAGATCCTCGAAGTAATTGAAACAGTCATAAGAAAGCTGTGGGTGTCTTAGGCATATATCCAAAAGATGCCCATTCATACAACAAGGATGTCTGTTCCATTATGTTCATAGCAGCATTATTTGTAATAGCCAGAACTTGGAAGCAACCTAGATGTCCCTCAACCGAAGAGTGGATAGAGAAAATGTGGTATATTTGCACAATGGAGCACTATTCAGGAGAAAAAAAAAAATGGAATCCTGAGATTTGCAGGCAAATGGATGACACTAGAAGAAACCATCCTGAATGAGGTAACACAGTCACAAAAAGAGAAACATGGCATGTACTCTCTTATATATGGATTTTAGACATAGATCTGGGGAGTGCCAGCCTACAGTCCCATGGCCAGAGAGTCTGGGAAACAGAAACTTCATTTAGTGGCTGATCGAAGAAGAGGCACACTCCCATGGCTAAGCACTGAGCTGAACTCAAGAAAGCCAGTAACAGAGAGGGAGGACTGTTGACCAAAGGGATTAAGACTGGGCTGGTTTAACCCCCAGAAACAGCTGATCTGACAAAGGTTAACTCTTGAATCCCAGGCATCAAGCTGGGAATCCAGCATGGGACTGATCAAGACCCCCTGAATGTGGGTGTCAGTGAGGAGGCCTAGGTAATCTATTGAGCCTTGGGCAATAGATCAGTACCCATCCCGAGTATACACATGGACTTTGGACTCCCATCCAATAATGAGAGATGCACTCTCACCCTGAACTCTTGTGGGAGGATCTAGGCCCTGCCCTGGATGAAATGACAGACTATGGACACACCCATGGAGGGCCTCACCCTCCCTGGGGAAATGAGGGGATAATGGGGGGGGATAGGGAGGCAAGGGAGGAGGGGAAGGAAAGGGAGAGGGACCTGGAACTGACTTGTGAAGCAACCTTGTTTCTAATTTAAATTTAAACTTAAAAATAAATAATAATAATAAAGAAAAAAAAAGAAAAGAAAGCTATGGGTGAAACCAAGCAGTGGTGGCACACGCCTTTAATCACAGCACTTGGCAGGCAGATCTCTGAGTTCAAGACCAGTCTGGTCTACAAGAGCTAGTTCTAGGACAAGCTCCAAAGCTACACAGGGAAACCCTGTCTCAAAAGAACCAAAAAGAAAGAAGGAAGCAAGGAAGGAAGGAACGAAGGAAGGAATAAAGGAAGGCAATCTGGGTTCATTCCATGACTAACAATACTCTGGAATCATGCATGCTCCTATGACCAGGAAATCATTATCTAGACAGAGGAAAATGGCATCTGGGAGATCCATGAGCACTTGGAACATGTGAATTCTGTGTGCTGGACTTCCCACACTGTATTGAGTCTGATCTGTGAGAGTCCAGGCTAGACCATCCCACAGCTGACCTGCACTAGAGAAGGCCAGTGTAAAGCACAGATCGGCAGTACTCAGACTACTGGCTGTCGGCAGGGCTTCCGCCATTGTACTTGAAAACCTCATGGACTAGCTAATGGGCCATAAAAGCATCAAGAAGTTTGAGTCTGGTGCTGTGGTAAGAGGAGGACAAACAAGCCAAGCATTGTTGGCGCACGCCTTTAATCCCAGCACTCGGGAGGCAGAGGAGAGGCAGGCAGATCTCTCTGAGTTCAAGGCCAGCCTAGTCTACAGAGTGATACCAGGACAGCCTCCAAAACAATACAGAGAAACCCTGTTTCGAAAAACCAAAAACAAAAAAAAAAAAAAAAAAAAAGAGGAGGACAAACAGTAGAAGAAGAAGCAGAAGCTCCATAGTACCAGTTCAGTGTGGCCTGGAAGCACCATATTTGTCTTCCCACCATCACCACAACCAGCTGCTCCCAAGATGGTGGAGTACTCCCCTGGACCTGAGGTGAAGCCCTGGGTAGTCTGCTACCTCCAAGGTTACTGCGCATGACCTGATCTGTCACCGCTAGCACTCTTGCTGTCTTATGCTGAGACAATAAGGTGACCCTTTGGAAGGAGTTGATGGACAGGAAGTGGGTATATATAAGTGATGTCAGTAAGGGCTGGGGCTCTGTATTACAAAGAGTCAGCTGATCTAGCAGTGACATGAGGTGGGGTTTGGATCCCCATCTGTCAGTCACAGAATTACCTCTTAAGACAACTGACCTGATAAATGAGAAGGAGAACCCTCAACTCCACTGAGACTATTTTCCCAGGTTACAAATGTAGCCCGATTGACAGTGTGTCTTGATTAGCATGGCTCGGTGGGATGTGTCATGTATTGCTCAGGTGAAAGTGCTCCTGCTCTAAAGAAGCCAAAAAGGACTTCAGATCTATGATTTAAAATGTTGTGTACCTTTAGTTCATAGCTTGGGAGGCAGAGTGTTTCCTAAGTAATTAAGTAGGATGTGAGAGGGAGCTGGCCGTGCCATCTGTCACTCTGTTGATTGCCGTGGTTATTTTGGCTAGTCTGGCTGGCCAGGCTGGTGTCCCCATCCTCCTCATCACTCCCTGTGTGTTCCTCCCAAAGCCACTCTGTTGGTTTGACCTTCCCCAATAAAGAAAGGCCAAGGATACACAAGTAGTTTTCCTCCACTGTTAGCACTCCCAAATAAACTCTCAAAATGCAAAATAATTAAAGTCATTTCGCTTATTTTTAAAAAGCTGAAAGACCAGACATATGGCTCAGTCGGTAAGAGCACTTGTCAACACCTACACTGTGGAAGGAGAGAACTAACTTCTCTTGTTGTCTCGCTCTCTCATCCTCTCATCCTCTCTCTTTCTCTCACATACATACACAAACAAATACAATGAAAAATTTTAGTCAAAAAAGTCTTTGGGTCAAAAGATCTTCAATAAGCACTCATTTTATCATGTATAGGAGGTACGAATTATGCTTACTTTATAGCTTTTAAAAAATAATGCTGAATTGTTAAAACAGGACTTATGAAACTATGAGTTTTATAAACAAGATGTATCCTCTTGTTTGTCTAGTTTGTTCTTGGCTTTCCTTTTGCTTTTCCATTGAGAAATGACACAGACACTTCTTATCCTAAGTGTCTGACTGTAGCTTTGCTACCACCTTCTGGCAAAAAGAAAAAGAAAAAAAAAAAAAGAACATCCTAAGCTATTTGTGTTGTAATTTAAGAAAAGTGGCTCCAGAGAGAGAGACAACAGATTTCAAGCAGAGTCCTTTGTAGCAGTTGAGGTGAAAGACAGGATTGCTCAGTGGCTAGTGTTGCCACTTTTGTGGGTGGAGTTTCTTCAGTGCCCACCAGTCTTGGAGGAAATGGGGTGGGGCCAGTTGACCAGTCTGTTATAAACACCTTTTTAATAAAACATTTTAAATGCCATACTCTCTAGATCTCTGAGCATTTGAGGGCTGTCTGTTTAGTATACACAGTAGACAAAATTTGTCTTTAGTTACTTGCCTTAAGCACATAGGTGACTGGGTAAGACTTTATCTCTGTAACTACTTTGTATGGCTACAGATTTAGTACTGTCTGGAGAACTGGATTGAAGCTAAGAGGCTGTGGAGGGATGTTTTAATTAGAGTCCTCTAGCCTGATTGTAACTGGTTTTAACTTAGGTTAGATTTACACCTATAAAGGACAAAGAAGTAGAGAAAAATCCCCTTTTGCAATAGAAGCTTTGCCTTTGTAAACAGCTTACAGGAAGGACTGGGTGGTATAAATACTTCGTTAAGTTAAATAAATCTTTATAACTTTAAATTTAAAGATGCATAACGATTTAGAAATATTTGAGACATAGTTAAATTTAAGTTGCATAGAGTTAGCTTACATTCACATCTTAGCATAGTTGAATTTAAGTTGCATAGAGTTAGCTTATATTTATATATATATGTAATATATATGTGTATATATATATATATATATAGTTAAATTTAAATCACTTGTACAGAGACAAGCTGACACATCAAACAGGAATGGATAAGAGTCAAAAGGGAGAACCAGAATGTAATCTATGATCTGCACGTTGTAGCAAACAGACAGGTGATTTAAAGAGACAGAGTAAACTGCCTGTGAACCGAAAGCCGGTCCGCTGCAGATAGAACAGGGGCCCTGGAAAGGCACAGTACTCCATAAACAAGCCATGCTCAACAGGACCAGTGAAAGAAGACATTAGAGACAAAAATAAAAGGCAAAAGGAGTGGGCGGACCCACGGCTAGGACACGTGGTCAAGATGGCTGCTTCCATAAACACATTCCCAAGCTAGGCCACATGGCCAAGATGGTGGCTGCCGTAAGCATGTTCCCATCTGCCAGCAGGAGGCTTTTTTCTCCAAGAGTGAGGCAGAAAGCTGTGTGAAACCAACAGGACGCCAGGGTCCAAGTGGCACAACATCCAAAAAAGACTATCGTAGGTCTGAGAAACGAATGCACCAGTCAGTACAAAACCCGAAAACCTCAAACCTCATTCGTGGGGGAAAATAAAAAAAATAAAAATAAAAAGCTCTCAGAGCATCCCTAGCAGACATTGCCCCAGGCCAGCTCGCTGTGAGCTGCTAGCATCTGTATAAACAGGGTATTCCCAGGAGGAAGAAGGTTCCCGCCTTGAGGCAGGCGTAGCCATGATGGGAAGGGCAGAAGCCACTGTGGCAGGCGAGAGAGCTTGCCGGAAAGGAAAGAGGAGGAAAGAGATTGCTTAGCAGACAGTAGAAGAAAGCTTGGAAATATAGTAACTCCTATCATTTACCTGTCTGCTGGAAAGGTCCCGTAAAATGTAAGCTGCCAATCTGAAGTGTATTTCCCGTACTAAGATGGCTTAGTACGATCTCAGAACTCATCATCCTGAGATCGTAGCCAAGGGCGAGAAGGCCCGAAAAAGACACAGTAGTTGATAGGACACAGAAGTCCGAAAGGCAGCAAGAAGAAACCGCCAAAGGAAGGCTTAAAGCTGAAACACACCACTCAGCAAATGCTGTGATGGACCTCATCCGTGGGAAATGCACTGACCGGGAGAAGGGTTGTCTTACCGGGTCACAGCAAAAGGGTAGCTGGAAAGTGGGTTGTTGGTCCGAGAGCAGGATCCCTGTTGCCAGCAGGCGATGGGAGAGATTACGGGGAGATCCTTCCGGGTTTCACCGCACCAAATGTTGTTGTTTTGTTTAAGAACGGGCTAGATGGAACGTGAACCACAGAGAATACATTAACCTTAGCGTTTATTAAAGGGGGGAGAGGGAAACAAGGTAGGAGAGAGATGGGGAGAGAAGAAGGAAGGGGGAAGAGAGTGAAGGGAAAGGGGAAGGGTGAAGGATCGAACACGTGGAGGACTCACTTAAAAGGGGAAGCTTGCACACGCATACTGCTCCAGCCACTATTGAATGGGCTATTAGCCTACTTGGAAGAAGTAGATCGCTGAGGGAAAGCCTCAGGAGTATATCTCAGTCCCAATTCCTTCCTGTCTGCCTGCTTCCAGGATGCCAGGAGGTGAGGCTGCGATCCCCCACATCCTTTTACCATGATGTGTCACCCCAGGCTCAAAGGCAGTGGAGCCAGCCAACGAAGGACTGAAAGCCTTGTAACCACAAACTAAACTCTTTCGTGTCTTTGTTATTTCTCAGCTATTTTGTCACTGGCATAAAAAGCTAACTAGTACTCGAAACGCGAATTCATTCTTGCTAGGGATGAAGGTGTTGCCTAAAATCCCCTAGGGCACTGGGTCAATTTGAGCAAATCCTAAAGCTTGTGGTGGTTTGAACGGCCTGAGGTGTTTGAATGTTAGGTCCCCAGTTGGTGGCGTAGTGGGAGAGATTTAGGAGGTGTGACCTTGCTGCAGAAAGTATGTCACTGGGGGCAGGATTTGAGAGTTTACAGACTAAAGCCACTCTCAGTGTCCTGTCTTTGCTTCCTGCTTGAGGTTCAAAATATATGATATGCCTTTAGCCTCCTACTCCTGCTGTCATGCCTGCTGCTAGTTGCCATGCCAAATAAGCTTTTCTATCTATTGGTGTGGAATATTACTTTAACTAGGCAAAGATGTGTTACATTTGTTTATTTGTGGAATATTAATTTAACTAGGCAAAGATGTGTTACATTTGTTTATGTTGCATTTGTTTAATTACGAAAAGTTGTGTTGCTGTTTGACCTTGCTTGCCTAAGGCACCTGATTGGTCTAATAAAGAGCTGAACAGCCAATAACTAGGTGGTAGAGTGACCGGCAGACAGAATAAATAGGAGGAGGACTCTAGGCTCAAAAAGAAGAAGGAGAAGAAGAAGAAGAAGAAGAAGAAGAAGAAGAAGAAGAAGAAGAAGAAGAAGAGGGAAAGAAGAGAAAGAGAGGAAGACACACAAAGTCAGGCAGGCAGGGAGCCGACAGACAGACATGGAGGACATACAAAATGAAAGAAAGGTAAAAGGCCCCAAGGCAAAACATAGATGGAGAGAGCAGATTAAATTAGGTTACAAGAGCTGGTGGGACAAGCATAAGATACGGCCAAGCATTCATAACTAGTAAGAAGTCTCCGTGTCATGGCTTGGGAGCTGGTTGCTGGCCCAAAAGAAAAGCTGCTGCATTCTATGATGTTAAACCTGAAGATATCAAGGAGAAAGACCAAATCCATGATTGTCTAGTTGAAACAAGCTTTATTTTAGAGGTGCACCTATAACGGGCCAGCAGCTGTCTCTCCTTAAGTCTGGACTTTGGAGAGCAGCCCCTTCTGGTCTTTTGAGGTCCCCTTTATGGGTGAGTGATAAAAGATTAACAGCTGTAAGCATATTTACAGGGACAAGAGAATTAACTGTAAAAGATTGTTAGAAAAATTCAATGAAAAAGACAAGGATATACATCATGTAAACTGGGTCACATGTTTTGCAGGTTGCATCAGATGTAAGAAAGAGAAACGTAATCTAAATAGAAACCTAATTTTGTAAGTATAACTTAACAACAACTAACAGCCCTGCAGAGCTGTACAGGTAAGTGGGGATTTTATTACCCATCAACAAAAGTAAAAACAAATCTCCAATTCATTGCTTACATTATCAAAAGACAAACTTTATTAAAATATAGGAAAAGTTATTCAAATTGGCTGATCCAGGATATATATATATATATATATATATATACACATTCATATGCTATTTTTTTTAACAAGGCCTTGCTCTTGTTGCTCAGGCTAGCCTGGAACTTACCCGGGCTGGAACTAACCCAGGCTGACCTGGAATTCATGATTCTCCTACCTCAGCTTCTTAAATGTTGGGGATTACAGGTGTGTGCCACCAAACTCAGCTAAATTAGATAAATTTTTAAAAGAAACAAGTTCATTTGTTACAGTAAAGCAACATTTATATTTATGGCAGTTGTTCAAAATTATATTAGAACATTTAATAGGAAGAAGTGGCCATTACACTCCAACTTTCCATTCAGTTTTATGGACATGGACATGGACGATATGGACATGGTTTTCTTTTTCCTTGTCTTTTTTATTGAAGTTACATGTATTGAGATTTTACTGCTTGCTGAATTTAATAATAAAAATTATACCTTTTGTGTTTGTCACATTAATTATTTTTGTTCTATTTAACAAAAGTTCTTCTGGTCCAGTTTGACCAGTGTGGTCACTGTCCCAATCCCTTGCTGGCCACTAGGTGGTGGTAAAAGACTGTCTCTCTGTTGTTTGCATGCTCCCTGAGAGGACTGGCGAAGTCTCAAAGGTCACACTAACTTTCCAGATGCCCTGCATGGAGCTTTCACGAGTGTGCTATTTAGAGCCAGCCAGAAACTCCCTGTGCACAGCATTACTACACAGCCCGAGATGATTCTTGCTCCCTCAGGAGTCACTCCCAGCACACACACCTGTGTTTAAACATCTAGTGGATTTATCAAAAAAGGGGGGGAGGGGCACAAAAAGTCCAAATTTTCCAGTCACAAATAGAGACTCCAATGCTGATGAGCCCAGCTGAAGAGTGGCAACAAACACTTCCTGGGCCTGATACTTTTATAAATAGTCAAGACCTCTTCAGTGGATTCTTCCTTGATGAAAGGCGTCTGAACCAGACAGGGAAAAGAAAGAAACCTGCCTTTAGCCCAGTGTGACGTCATCTCATGTATTAACCGGGCACTTGGAACCTGAGTCTGGTTTCCACCTTGTGTGTCTGCTCTGGCCACATTTCAAGCTTGTCCAGACTCTGGCTTGCACGTTTCACTAACTGCCTGCTCAGGTAACTTATGGGCTGAACATGGTAGGAACACACTCTGCTAACCAAGACCTTAAAACAAACCCTTTTTCCCTTAGTTGCTTCGGTCAGAGTGTTTAGTAGAGTTAACAGGAAAAGAAACTACAGGACTCCACAAAAATGCACTAAGCGGTGTTGTGGATACATAAGGTGTCAGGAGGGTGGGGCCCTCAGGGAAGGATGCTCGCCCAGCCCTTCCATTTGGCTACTCCCAAGTTGCATACTTCACCATAGACGAGAAATAAAGTAAAGCCAGACTTAGTAGTGCAAAACTCTCCTCTCAGAACTGGCTGACTGAGCAAGAGGCTTGTAAATGTGAGGCCATGCTGGGCTGCAGAAAGCCTACCTGAAAATGCTGCTAGAGTAGTCCCTGAGGGCTTCCATCTTGATCTGCAGGTAGGAGGCAGAGACTGCAAATGGCCTGGACTTTTGAAAGCTCAACACCTGCTCCCAGTAACACACTTCCTCCTACAAGGTCGCACCTCCTAATTCTTCCCAAACATTTCCACCAACTGGGGACAAAGTATCCAAGCATGACCCCTATGGGAGCTAGTCTCATTCAAACCACCACAGCAGGGTTAGAGAAAGTGCCTCTTCTACAACTGGGGACAAAGTATCCAAGCATGACCCTATGGGAGCTAGTCTCGTTCAAACCACCACAGCAGGGTTAGGGAAAGTACCTCGTCTCCAAACTGTTCAAGCAAAAACATCTAAGCATCAAGACTGCATATATATTTCTACAATACTTTTAAACAGCAAGCAAAGTATTGTGAAATAATGAGGGGAGAATACGTTTCCTATACTACTTGTTTGAATTTTCTATAGGTTTGAAATTGATGAAGGTAAAACCAAGTCCAAAGTGACTAAGAAAAGTCCAAGTGGCTAGTAAATTTAAGAGTAAGGAGGGTGGGTTGGGTGCATTAGTAGCTTAGCTGGCAGAGTTGACATACTCCAGCAGTGTATAAACTGAGGGTTGTAATGGGAAAAATAAGAAAAGACGATAGCTAAACAAGGAACCTCTGACCATAGGCTACATGACCGGAGAGCACAGGCAGTTCTCACAAGAAAAAAAAAAGAGCCTGAGCTCACTACCAGCTGAGTCAACATCTGTCCTTCCCCCATTGTCTTGGGAAAACTGGGAACTGGATAGAGCTCTTGACCTGCCGATCGTAAACCCCTGGCCCACAAGATGTACTAATCAATCTTACCTAAATGGATGACAGTTACTGACTTCTTTGTCCAATACCCTTTGTTTCATGATAACCTTGTATGGAAAAACTGTTCATTGTAAAAATCTCTGTAACCATGGAAACCTTGGGACCTGAGACTTGCGGTCTCACAACCTCTTCCCCTTTTTCCCTTTAAAAACGCCTTGTAATTTTAAGATGGGGCCTTACTCCCCCGATAGAGTGAGGTCCCAGCCGGTTGGCATAGAATAAAAACCTTTTTGTGCTTGCATTCGGGTGTCAGTGGCTCCTTGGAGTTTTGAGGTCCCCTAGTGGACACAACAGTGTGAGGATACACATCTATAATCCCAGCACTCTGGAAGTGGAGGCAGAAGTCAGTTTAAAGTCCTCCTCTGCTATGTAGCAAGTTCAAGTCCAGCCTGGACTATATGAGATTCTGCCTCAAAAAGCAAAACAGGAGAGCGAGAGGGATCATCTGTGATGTGACTGCCTTAGTAGAGGTACTATACTCAAAACTCCTAAGGTTCCTCAGTACCGACTGGAGAAAGCTCAACGTTCCTCTTTCATTATAGACTTTCCTGACATGGGTTCCTTTACTCCTGAAAAGGCAGCTGCTGGGCTAAGTCTAGGTAAGGAAGGGAGAAGGGGAGATGCAACCGTTGCTTCTGTAGGCAATGAAGGTCCAGGAAAATAGAGGTTTAAGATTCCCA